GACAGAATTACAGTTTGAACAACAGCTCAGATCCTTTAATAACCATACCACATACATGTGTATGGATAGAAGGATGATGGATGGATGGATGGATGGATTAATGGAAAGATAGGATTGATTGATTGATAGATGATAGATAGATAGATAGATGACAGGAAGATAAATAGCTAGAGAGATAGACAGATGATAGATATAGATAGACGATAGTGAGATAGATAGATGATAAATAGATTGATTGCTAGATGATTGATAGTGATATAGATGATAGATGATAGATAGATAGATGATAGATAGATAGATAGATTTGATAGATAGATAGATAGATAGATGATAGATAGATAGATGATAGATGATTGACAGATGATAGATAGATAGATACATAGATAAGATGATAGATAAAAGATAAAAAATAGTTGATAGAAGAAAGATAGGTGATAGATTGGTAGATACTAAATAGGTAGATATCTGGGTTAGAGATAATCAGATGATGATGATAGATAGATAGATGATAGATAGATGATAGATGATTATAGACAGATAGATGATAGATAGTTAGATGATAGATAGATAGATAGATAGATAGATAGATAGATAGATAGATACATAGATAGATATGATAGAAGAAAGATAGGTGATAGATTGGTAGATACTAAATAGGTAGATATCTGGGTTAGAGATAATCAGATGATGATGATAGATAGATAGATGATAGATAGATGATAGATGATTATAGACAGATAGATGATAGATAGTTAGATGATAGATAGATAGATAGATAGATAGATAGATAGATAGATAGATACATAGATAGATAGATAGATAGATCGATAGATAGATAGATAGATAGATAGATACATAGATAGATAGATAGATAGATCGATAGATAGATAGATAGATAGATAGATGATAGATAAAAAATAGTTGATAGAAGAAAGATAGGTGATAGATTGGTAGATACTAAATAGGTAGATATATGGGTTGAGAGATAATCAGATGATGATGATAGATAAATAGATGATAGATAGATAATAGATGATGATAGATGATAGATAGATGATAGATAGATAATAGATGATGATAGATAATAGATAGATAGATGATAGATAGATAGATAGATAGATAGACAATTGCAGATAAATTGTGAGTTTAACCATCCCATCTACAAGGAATCTTTACTTAGATATGAGGGATCACACTCAGAGGGAATCAACAGTAATCCTAAATTCCCATCACCTGTATTAGGAAGGAGGCATTTTGACACTTGGCATAAAAGTATTTGGAATGTGAGTTGACAACCACTGCTGCACACACTCAGTGTCTATGAAACACTGTTTTTTGGGTGACCACATTTGTAAGACTATCACTGAGGTAATAAACCTAGAGAAAGATGACCAAGCCGGGTACAGTGTTGGATACTCATAATCTCAGAATTCTGGAGGTGGAGGTAGGAGGATCAGAGTGGAAGGTCATCCTTAGCTGCTTAGTAAGTTTAAGGCCATCTTGGGCTACATAAGTCCCTATCTCAAAAGAACAAATGATTAAAAATAAAAATATAACTAAAATGGAGTAGAAATTCAGAGAGAAATACCTGTCTTCCAGACACCTGGATACATTCAGTGTCATAATAATTCAGGGTCTATGGAGCATGGGAGGGACGAGAGACACAGGAGACAAATTGATTAAAAGGATAACTATGAGATCTGGGTATTTTTGTCCTCACACCTTGTAACAAGGAAAAAACTGAAACTTAGAGAAACTCTAGGGTACTCCTTCCATGTATTGTCATTGAGTTGATGGTAGCATAAAACTTGCTTGATCATCTAATCAGCACACCTGCAGACAGATATGTAGTGAGCACATTGCAAGTCAGGAAATGGGTTGACTTTTACCAGTATGGACTGAACCAAGGGCTTCGTGCATGCTAGGAATACATCCCACAAGCAAGCTATATCTTGAGACACAATCTTACAAAATCATCCCAGCAGAGATTTGAAATGAAGGTCTTTCTGTCTCAGTTTACCAAGTAGCTGGGATTCTGGAGTTAACCAAAACACATGATGGAAATGTAATTTTAATGCAGAGAATGTCCCTGACAAAAGGCAAATAGCCATAAGTGAAGATATTAAAAGTGAAGACTTGTTTATAAAATCCCAAGACCAAGTTGACTTCATGCTTCAAATTTGGTCATAACACAGTGAGTCTGGGTGACAGATTTGCGTGTGTGTGTGTGTGTGTGTGTGTGTGTGTTTTAATTGAATTCTTTATGTTTCATAAAAAAACCTTTTTCAAAATATTTATTTATATTTTTATTTTATGTATACGAGTGTATTGCCTATACCTATGTAAGTGCACCTATGTTCTGTAATGACAGAGGAGGTCAGAAGCGGGCATCAGATCTCCTAGAACTGAAGAAACAGAGTAGAGTTGTTAACCACCATGGGGGTGCTAGGAACTGAACCCAGGGTTTCTGCAAGAGGAGTCAGTGCTCCTAACCACTGAGCCATCTCTCCAGCCCCCATACAAAACATCTTAGTCATCTTAATACCCTCTTCCCAATCCACACCCTACCATACAGCCCCATCAGATCTTGTGCAGTCTGTCATTTAGGTTTAGGTCTGTCAACGTAAGTTACCAAACCCAGACATCCCTTGAAGGTTTTTAGACCTCTCACCACTGTGCACAGTGAAAGCAAGCCCCATTTAGACATCAAAGACGAGATGAGATCCACTCTATTCTGAGGCAGATATTTTCTCAGGTTTACTCATCTGACAGTACAGATGATGATGAGCGAGTTTTACAGGACAAAGAATTCCAGAGCCTATCACACACTTGTAACCACCAAACTGAGGGGAAAATCCATCTATCATGGAGAATCCTCCACCACCCAGCATGTTGATAATGCCCCAGGTATGAATAAACTGTCCCAACAAATCAGTCTAATGAGAAGCTCATTCTTGAGAACTAACATGAGGTTACAGTCGAAAGTTAATTTGCCAATGTCACACAATGTGAATGAAAATTAGAGATGGGTTCTAATGAATTTCAGAATAACCATGTCTCCAAACTAACCAAAGAAGTATTCACTCATTGACCTCCACTAGAGTATTGAGCATCGTGTGAAAACTTCATTATTGTGAGATCACACTCAGGAATCAAACAGGCTCTTTCATTCCTGTAGTAATTTCGTTTCTCTATGCTTAGTGCCAATCGTGTCATGAGATGCTATAATAGCTCTGTTTCCATGATTTTGTCTCTTTTAGACGAAACCATATCGCTTACCTTGTCCATTCCATTCTTTCCCTCATCTGTTGTAACCTCAGCAAACCCACAGGTGATTCATTTTGTCCTGCCCTACCTTAAACATCCCTCAAAAGACCAATGGGTGTTTATGTTCACATTTACTTGTATAATCCCTTTCAATCATTCTCTTTTGCCTCTAATAATAGACTTTCTGTTACAACAGAGCATTTCTACTTTGCAATACTTCCTTTTCTGAGATAGCAAGAGTTCAACATGCATACATATTTCTTAATAACTGGGGATGGAAGAGAAAATACACAAAGCCAAAAAAAAGTCCAGGAACTGAGTAAGGTAAGGCACACTGAACAGGAGGAGCAGAAACATGTCATGGAAAAGGACATGCACTTTAAGAATCCCATTCTTGGGCTGGAGAGATGGCTCAGCAGTTAAGAACACTGACTACTCTTGCAGAGGACCTGGGTGCGATTCCCAACACCCACATGGTGGCTAACAATGACTGTAATTCCAGTTCCAGGGGAATCCGGCACCCTCTTCTAACCTCCTTGGGCACTACATGACATGGGTGCACTTACATACATGCAGGTAATACAATCACATACCTAAAATAAGAATAATAAATATAATACTCTTAATGAATCCCATTCTGTCAAGGGTAACTCTGAAAGCAGGTCCTCAGACATTCATGTAAGTGAAGAAAGTCTGCTTAAGAAATACAAATGATGGACTAGGACAGGGTAAAAGGGAAGAAAGAATTTCAGGGTCCTGGGTGCATGACGAGGTGCCTGCAGTTGGTGATGCTGATGATGGACACCAGCATAAATACCTGTGCAGAGGACTCCCTCAGCAGCTTCCTTCACAGGGAGGACCTGCCTGGAAGGTGTTCTTGGGTTCCAGTCCCCCAGTGTTCAGCATTCTCTCTAGGAAATATCAGATATTTCACAATCTGGGACTGAAACTACCATAGATAAACCATCACACAGATGATTATCCTCAGTGAGAATTCAGTCTTCATAAGTTGATACCAACACAACTGACTGCCTACCAGACCTGATGTAAGGTCTGATCTAATCAACAGAGTATTCCATGGAGAGCTAAACACACCTGCTTCACACCCAGATTCAGTGATTTTAGTCAAGTGTTTGATATTTAGACTTATAGCTTTTCTATAAATCTCTGCTTCTTTGACTTCTGGGCCACCAGCTCAAATTTATTCTGAATTTGCTCTCATTCCTCCTTCCTCTTTCTCCTCCAAAAAGATGTTTCGGTTCTGGAATTAAAAGCTCCCCTCATCCATCTATTGAGAACAGAAAAGAGAGAACACGACTAGCCAGTGCCTACACAAACCTTGTCCAGGTCATGCAGGGATACACCCCCTGCACCAGGGCTCGTGGGATGTGGACTCTACATGGCAAGCTGTCTGAGGATACAACTCAACCTCTTTCTTCTGTTGTTTCCTTTTGCCTACATTGGGGAAAAACATTTGTACTGAAAAATCTTGTATTTTGTTAATTGACATACGACTGCAAGCTTTTATGAGGAACACTCTCTTCTCTGCCAGAATAACAGTTCCTTACTATGAAGAGACAGAAAGTGGATGGAAAACAGAGAACTCGTTTTAAATATAACATTAATCATTTTATTGGAAGTCCTGGATACCCTAATATTATTCATCAACAAACCACCTATTCACCACAGATAATGAACTAGTGACAGAGCAAAAGAACCATTTCACCCAAGTGCTGTGGCTGTGTGAAACAATGAGTATAACAGGGATCACTAACCAAACATTGTTAGGAGGAAACTTAGCGTGGGACATTTACGAACAAATATATCAACAAAGAGAATCTCTCTCTATCGCTCTCTCCCCCACACCTCTTCCTCTCCTTCTTCTTCTCCCTCTCCCTACATCCCCCTGAAAATATTAGCTAATGCATACCCCTGTAAGAGGAAGAGCATCCAGAGCCTCTCCCACCCTCTCTGATGGAAGAATATTGGCCTCAGCCCTCTGCAGATCATTTGTGGCAATCACAGCTACTGAGAGTTCAAGGGGATAATGTCCATGTCATGCTCAGAGGACAGCATTCCACAGCAAAAAAGCAACCTTGGTAGATGCTAATATTCTGACCATCGGAAAAGAGAAACCAGGAAGGAAAGGCAATGTGGGAGAAGAGAAAATTCCTCCCGTAAGCGGGGTAATGGAGTCAAGTGAGTCAACATCTCATGTCCAGAACTTGTGACCACATTACCTCAGATGACAGAATGTGCTTTCATTAAGGATGTGGAAGAGGGATTTGTCCAAGTGATATCTATACAATATAAGTTCATGATAAGCAAGGTCCCTGTAGCTTATAGGACTCAACTTCCAAATGGCTTGCACCTCCTCCCATGGCTCCTCAATCTTTCCAGCTTCTCTTCTGCAATGGTCCCAAAGCCCTGGGTGGGTGAAGTAAAGTAGGAGTCCCATGCAAGGACCCACACTCTGTAGACTCTTATTCTCTCTGCTTTGGCTACTTGTGACCTGTTGTGTTCATTGCCCTCTATTGTATGAGGGAGCTCCATTGATGGGAGTTTAGAGATGCACTGAGGGACATAGGCCCTAACATAAATGAAAGAACGCGTGAAATCCAGTGGGGGCGGGCAGCTGCGGGAGGTTTCCCAGTGGGGAAGGTAGTATAAAGATGACTAAGATGTTATATATTGCGACTGGGGAGATGACTCAGTAGTTAAGAGCACAGACTGCTCTTACAGAGGAGCCAGGTTTGATTCTTGGCGCCCACATGGCAGCTCACAACCATCTGTAACTCCAGTTCCAGAGAAATATGACGCCTTCTTCTGACCTCTGCAGGCACTGCACGATACAGGTGACTTACACACATGTAGACATAACACTCATACATATAAAAATAAATAAAATATTTTTAAAAGATATATGAAATACACAGAAGTTCAATTTCAAGAAAGGTCCTTAAAAGGGAACGATGAAGACAAGATGGTCAGACTCAAAGAAGGGAGAAGATGACACAGATTTGGAAAAAGGGAGCATTGGCCGTATTAGAAACGGACCGTAAAGGATGTGGAAGACGAGAGGAGGCAGAGAGGAAGCATACCACGGCCTGCCTTTCCAACCATTAAGTAGCATGTCACATGGGACTAGAGAGCCACCTTGAACTTATGACCTCTGCTGGTCAGATGATACCTCAGTGCTGTTCTAAGCCACTGTTTGTTACACTGAAAAAGGGAACTTGCAATGCTGGACTAACAGGAGTTCTGCAAGCTTGGAGCCTCGACGTCATTTACTGAAATGAAATACAGAAACCCACAAATGCCCTGCAGAGATCTGAGTTCTTCACCAAACTACTGCACTGAAGAATAAAAATAACTTCTTGGAAGAGAAGTTCCCCTTCCTGTGATGCTGCTGGTGGGTCAGTCCCATGACAGAGCAGACCTGTCCTCAGAACAACATCCTGTCTTTCTGCACCACAGAAAACAGCCACACCAAACACTACCACAGCTCAGATTGCTAACCAGGAGTCACCATGACCCCCCTGCTCACAGCCCTGCTCAGCCTCGGTGAGAGATGAAAATGGGGAATGGACTCTCCATTCTGAAAGGGACCGTACCCCTCAGCTGGGTATGAGTCCACTGGCAGACCCCAGGGGATCAGGAGTATGCAGGAAGGAGAGGATCTTTCAGGATACAGGGACAAAGCTCTCAGAGGGATTTCTCTTCCAGGACTGGGGCTCAGCATCAGGACTGCAGCACTGACAGGTGAGTGCATCTCCAGCCATCTCCCTACCCTCTACTTCACCCTAGAGATCAAGTGACCTTATGTTCTGCAGTGCCCCATCCATTCACTAGGGAAATGGAAGAAATCCATAGGATGATTCTGGAGATGTCTGTGAGGACCCTATCCTGGGAGCAGGGTTTGGAGGGAGTAACGTTCTTGGACCTAGCCTCTGATTGCCTTGCAGGGACTCTCCCCAAGCCCATTATCTGGCCTGAGCCAAGCTCTGTGATTGCAAAGAATATGCCTGTGACCATCTGGTGTCAGGGAACCTTCGAGAGCCTGGAGTACCAGCTGCATAAAGAGGGAAGCCAAATTCCCTGGGACAGACAGTATCCACTTCTGATCAAGAACAAGGCCAAGTTCTCCACCCAATTCATGACAATGGACTATGCAGGGCGATACCGCTGCCGCTACAGCAGCCCCGCTGGCTGGTCAGAGCTCAGTGACCCACTAGAGCTTGTGATGACAGGTGAGAGGACACTCAGGGGTCCCAGTGCTGGTTCTCCCTCAGAAGGGGTTGACTTTCCAGGTTATCCCTCTCTCAAACCCCACCTCTGGAGAACAATGTGAGAAGTGTGAGCTCGTTTAACATGCTGACTCCTTGTTTCCTAGGAGTCTACCAAAACCCCAGCCTGTCAGTCCTTCCTAGCCATGTAGTGACCTTAGGAGTGAGCATAACCTTCCAGTGTTGGTCAGAGCTGGGATTTGGCACCTTCATTCTTATCCAGGAAGGAAAACCCAGTCTCTCCTTCACTCTGGACTCACAACATCACAATCGACAGTTCCAGGCCCTCTTCCACGTAGACTCTGTGACTGCCAGGCACAATGGAACTTTCAGATGCTATGGATATTTCAGGAACACTCCCTGGGTGTGGTCACTGCCCAGTGACTCCCTCAAGGTTTTGGTCTCAGGTGAGAATCCATGACCCCATTCTTACTGATCTCACAGGGTTCCTTTGGGTCCTGCCCCAAGAATAGCTGTGGTCTGAGGCAGAAGTGAGGAATCTCTAAAGCAGCCCAGGCAGAGAGGATTTTTCCCCTTAGAGAGAAGGAGCCCAGAGGATCCTGTGAGGCATGTGCATCCCTGTGTACTTCTTTAGAATTTAGAAGAGCCAGGAGAGTGCCTGGAACTCCAGGCAATGTCACACAACTGACAGTGTGACCAGGCACCGAGTCTCCAACATCAGCCTCTGTCTTTCACCTGATTTTATCTTTACTTCCTGAGTGCTCTGGGTCCAGCCTCATGGGTCACAGACACCCCTCGAACAGCTGGTCATGGAAGACTTGTGGTGCACAGGAAGCAGACTCAACCAGGCAGTTCTGAGTCACTCAGACTCTCAATCCTCCTTAAACATTCAGTGATAAACTGTCCAGGATAGTAGGGGTTGAGCTGAGATCCTAATAGGCAGTCCTAAAACTCCAGGGTCACAGAGTCTAGTACACAGAGGGTGGGATCCAGTGGGAAGCACTTACAGTCCAGGTTGGTGTAGAAGCAGACATGTCGGGACTCAGGTTTGCTTTGCTTAGTGGGGGACCGGCTGGCTTTGGAGCAGAGGGTCTGATCAGCAACAGAGTCATAAACTCTGGGACCTGTGTCTTCCCAACAGGACAATTTATTTTAAAATTCGGATGGTTTTTATACATCCCAGTCATGTGTGATATGGCAGTCACATACAAAGATTTAGGGTACAAAGAAACAGAACATTTAGTCTGTTAGTTGGTGCCAGAAAGATTCTTAAAGTTTTACTCAAGGTTATCAACACCCATCCAGTAATTTATTGGCCACAATGTTTTCTTTCTTAGAGCTAAAAGCATGGTAAACTTTTAGCTTTAACTCAGGAGTAAACCTTTAACCTGGCCTAATCTCTTAGCCAGGGATAGCTGAATTATTTGTTTGGGACAAGGAGATGAGCTAAGGGTTGCTGACCAAGACTCTTTCCCACAGAGCAGGGAGCCTGCACTTTTATGACCAAGCCACTTCCTCCTGCCAGTCTAGCAGTATTCTGCAAGCCAGGGATTATCAGAGCCACTGTTTTCAGTACCCCTCTCTTTAGCAGAGAATGCAGCCTGGACTTAAAAGGTTTGAGGCTCATCTCACCCTAGGGCCTGGCATCCTGGTTTCCTACACAGACAGAGGTTGGTGAGTGCAGATTCTACTTCTTCACCTCTCCATCCCATTCTAGCAGATCCTGAGGACAAGTCCCCCACCACCACTGAGGCTGGCACTGAGAATGGTGAAAGCTCCCCTGGGAAGTGGGCACAGCAAAGTAATGAGATAGTTGTGGGATTAGTGGAGCCTCCACTTGAGATAAGGAGATGAAGGCCTGGAATTGCTCCCCTTAGCCTATCTGCTACTTCCCCAGCTAGGGCCTCAATGATAAACGCTTTCCAGGATGGTGGAGTTAAGCCGAGATCCTAACAGGAAGCCCTGCAAAAATGTTTCTAAGTCAACTGTGCCCCGACTGGGTGGTTTTCTTTGGGCTGATGCCTTCAGTTCCTCTTTGGTTAACCCACAGGCAGCTCAATGCCTCCCAGTTTCTGGATCCCGTCCTCCTGAACACCAGCCTCTGATACCCTGTGGTTTCTGGGATCCCTGATAGAGTCTCCTCCCAGCCTCCAGCCTCCTGGACAAACCTTATTGATTGTTGAATGAAGATCAAGGTGTTGCTTTTGAGATTCAGACTTGGGGAAAAAACCCTCCTCAATCTGCTACTCAGCTTCTCGAAGTACAATGAAAAGGGCTGACCCAGACCTTCAAGTTCTTTCATTGCTGTCCTTGGCTGTGACCTCCTGGGAGAAGAGGTCTCACAGCCTCTAGGTCCCAATTTTGCAAAGAGCCCGTCCCCTGTGCCTCAGTGTTAGTGGCTTTGTTCAGGGTAATCGATGCAGAACTGTGACAGAGCGTTCAGATCTTTTCTTTCCAGCTCAGAGGGCTGATCTGTTATAAACAGAACAAGGCTGGAAGTCATACTACGAGCTTCACACCCCAGCCCTGCATCTTCCTTCTGGTGATCTGGGATAGGTGACTTGTCTCTCTGTACTTTTGTGTCCTCATCTGTAAACTGGCTGAGGGGAGGAGACCATCCCATGTTGTGTAGTTATGATGGGGAGAGGCGGTGAATGCAAAGACCCAGTATGGACCTGGCACACAGTAGGTACTCAGGTAAGCAGAACCATTCTTCATTCCTGATGTTACTTTTACCCTAGGACTGGAAACATACCAGAAGGTGCTGATCGGGGTCTCAGTGGTCTTCCTCCTGCTGCTCCTCCTCTTTCTCCCCATTCTCCTCCAATACTGGTGTAAAGGCAAAGGCAAGAATGCAGGTAAATAGGAGATGGGTCAGCTGGGTGTCACGAGGTGGTGAGCTGCCCATGGGTTAACTAAAGAGGAGCTAAAAACCCAGCCCAAAGAGAACCATCCAGTCAAGGGACCATCAGCTTAGAAACTTTTTTTTAATAGTATTTTATTTTTTTATTTTTTATTTATTATTTTTATTTTATGTGTATGAGTGTATTGCCTGCATGTAAGTGAGTGCACCTGTGTCATTCAATGCTGCAGAGGGCTTCAGATTACCCTGGAACTGGAGTTAAAGAGTTCGTAGCCCTGCCATGTGGGTGCTGGGAATCGAACCTGGGTCCTCTGCAAGAGCAGT